AAGGGGGGGGGGGGGGTGTTAGTGCCTATTTTCCAACCATATGGGGCACTCGTGCTCAATTTTTATTTTTCGTTTATTTTTTTCCCTTTTTTCTTTATGGTTTCTGATATTAATCAAGGTTTTCTAAATTTATTTTTAAAATTGTTTTATAATGTTTTTAACATATATGGAAAATAATAATTAACATATACTGCTTCTCTACATCCCATATTAACATTTTTTTTATTTTTCATTCCGAAATAAAAAAGTAAAAAGTTTTTTTGAGATATAAAAAATGAGGAATAAAATAATTAATAAAATTAAACAAAAAATAAAAATGAATATCCGTTTTGGACATCCCAATTATAAGAATTTTTAAGACGTTCTGAAAACTCTTTTTGTATAAGACTTTTTTTGCGTAATTTTTTTCATTTTGTTTTTCCATTTTTTTTAAAATTTTTATTATCAATTCTTTTTGAACTAACCAAAAAATTATTCTACAAAGCAAAAAGTTAAAATGCATAATTTGAGATAGGTTAAGTACATGTTATTTTTTATATTTATTTCAAACACAAAAAACTTTGAAATTTTAAAAAAATTATAAGAAATTGAAAAAAACTTGAAAAACTTTTCTAAGAAAAGGAAACAGATAGAAAAAAAGAGAAAAATCTAATTAATAAACAAAAAATAAGAAAAGAGCATGAGTGCCCCTATGGTTTGGAAAATAGACATTAAATGCCTTCTTTTTGTTGAAAAATGATCAAAGGGGTCTGAGTGTAACATTTTGAAACTATGAGGATTTTAAGATAACTTTTGATATGGGTGTTGGTGGAAATTTTTCAAACCACAGGGGGCACTGGAGCTATTAGACCGATTTTTTTATACAAACTATACATTTTTCTCAACCCCTTGGTTCCATGACATTGGGAATCAATGTCATGGGATGACCCGGGTGCGCTCCGGTGCCCCTTTCGTAAAATTGACGGTTCTTACCCCTCCTAACCCCCCCGGTAAACCCCCCCCACCCCGTCCCGACCCGAACACACCCCCCCACTCCCTTATGTTGGACCCCACAAGTCGATTTTGACTTTGGAGTCAAATTATCGACTTGTGGGGTGCAATTGAAGAAGGTGGAGGGGTGTGTTCGGGTCGGGGCGGGGTGGGGGGGGTTTACCCAGGGGGTTAGGAGGGGTAGGAACCTTCAATTTTACGAACGGGACACCGAAGCGCACCCGGTTCCTCCCATGACATTGATTCCCAATGTCATGGGAACCTTCCTTTTCTCAAAGTATATCTACTTCTTCCACTAAATATAAATTTACAAAAACGCAAAGAACACTTAGCTTGCACATATTTTAAGGCTTACGTCGCACATCGTAAAAAAGGTCGTGATGGGTACCCAATATTTTCCCAAGGACTGTAGATCGGCCCAGGTTCAAATATAGGTATCCGGGCCTTATAATATTGAAAGATAATACGAGAATAATAATTGATAGTAATAGAAGCACTGCTCACTGAATAATAACTCAAATCGGCGGTCCTCTCCTTTATTCGGTCCTCTTAGGAACGGAATATGCTTAAGGATCGCCGGAATATCTTTTATTATTTACTCAAGTATTTTCTCTCTCCATTACAAGATATCTTAATCCCTCAATCCTTCTTTCTTTTATAGGCGCTCCCAACCGCTATCTTCTACAATAAAAGCAGTGATTGGGGAGAACATCCGCGCCAGCCTTGCTCTTTCCAGGGGGAGTGTATCTCCACTTGAGGCCGTCCACTGGAGGACAAACCCTTCCGTCCATCTCTTGCCTCCTGTCCTTCGTCCGTCTCTTTCTTCTCGTCTTTGTCCCTTCAAGTGAAAGGGGGGACTCCCCAAACTTCTCATAGGATTCATCTCTTTGTGGGTGGCTTACCCTTAATGGGCTGGCTCCAGCCCATCCTTAAGCCCCACCTCTCTTCCTTTTCCTATCTTTCTCTATGAACAACCTTCTTGTGATCGGCCCGGTACATTTTACCTAGGCCGGATGCTCCTTTTGATGGACGGGATCCGAATTGGGCCTAGGCCCAATTCGCCAGTACTCTCTCGATGGGCTTGGTTCCCATCACATGCCCATTTTTTTACAAGTCAAAAAATAAAAATTTTTTTTACTGTAGTCTTCCTCGCATGCTTCCTTGAAGAGTTTTTCCTCTGTCATCTTTTCATTTTCTGACAAAGATTCTCCTTTTGGGCAAGGCCCCAAAGTTTAACTTGTATTCACTCCAGATGCTATTCCCCACAGTACGTCCTTGTGGGACAGGATGTGTAATTGGTCGAGTGAGCTGCTTGTGGCCACACACGGGTCTGTCTAATGGCTGCTTGGTCATGCGGACAGTCCCTGCACACCAATAATGGTGGTCCGTTTATAGAGGAATAAATTGGGCGTGGACCGTGTGCATGGGAAAAGGCACGAATGGACCGCTGGGAGTCTGTGCCACTTAAATATCCATGGCCCACTTTTCCAACCCTTTTTGACTGGTTCCTCTAATTCCCTTAATTGCTGCATAGGGCCGTTCTACTAAGCACAATTCAAGGTCCCCACCCATCTATGATTGTGGGACCGTAAGATCTGGGAAATCGGCAGAGTGGACCGTTTGGAATTAGTGCTCCTGACCCGAGTCCAAGGTTGCAATTCTCTTTTCCAAGTGTCCCTTCACTGCCATTGGACCGTTTCGAAACAGGTGCCATTCAAAATTCTTACCGTTGCCAAGAGATGCTGAGGGTGGACCGTTTCTTCTCCCTCTTCTCTTTCTCTATAAATACGGTCCCTCTCCCCTCTCCTTCTTCACGCTCACACGCAACTCTTCACTTCTCCTGCCTTTATCCCTGCCGAAGAAGACAATCTCCAAGGTTTCCAAGATCTTCAACGGCGGTAAGAAATCCAAGGAGGACGAGAATTTTTCCTCCATCACTCCTGCGCAATTGGGGGAGATGAGGGGAGTCATTCCTCCTGATTATGGCGTCCAGAAAGCCACGGGTACTACTTTGGAGCGCAATCCTGACACCTCCCGCCGACTGGTCGTCCACTACGACTCGGTGAGGATGGGATGCCGCTTCCCTCTCCATCCCCTCTTGGTCGAACTTTGCAACCGCTACGCCATACCTCTCGGTCAGATTTCCTCGAACTCCCACGAGAGTCTTTTTGGCTTCTTGGCGCGGTGTCACAAGAGAGGCATCCAACCCACTCTGAAGCTCTTCCTCTCTTTCTTCCGTCCCCACAAGTATGATGGTGAGTTGGGCCGGGGGTTCGTGAGCTTCACGGCCCGGACCGATATGCAATTTTTGGATAGCCCGGTCGACAAACTTGACGATTGGTTCCGCCGCTTCTTCGTGGTGGTAGTTCCCGAAGATCTTCCCTTCCCCAACGTGTGGCGGAAGAAGGAAGATAAGTTCCCTTCTCACCTTTTTCCCCCTCGCGACTCCGAGCTCGAGGGGGTCTTCCGTCTTCTTCGCAAGAACGGCCATCCGGTCCCCCGCGCGCTCCTCCTCAAGGACTCGTATTTTCGGGGTCTCGGATTCTGGGTGTCTCCCGATATTCCTCCTCAAGAGCCGTCGGGAGACACAACTTCCTCTTGGGTTCCTCCTTTCAGGAGCACTCGACTCCGTCGGCGATCTTCTCGAGGGGATCCTTCTCCGGAGGAGGACACCGAGGCCGAAGAAGTAGGGTCCGCGACGGGGGCCCTATCTCTGGCGCTTGCCGACCAACCTCCCCTTTCGGAAGAGGTGGTGGTTGAGGACGTCTCCGAAGATGATGGCCTCTACGACTTCCCTCCGGGGACCCTGAGGGTGTCCGGCCTTATCCCCGGCGTTCCTCACACTCCTCTCTTTGGCAGGGGAACTTCTTCTTCGGCTCAGCCCATGGGCCCACTAGGTTTCCACCCCCAAACCAGTGGGCCCCTTCCGACAGGGCGCGCCACTGGTTCGCAAGGGTCCCTTGAGCCGCCTCACGTTCAGGTGGCCAGGATTGGGATTCCGTGTAGCACGGAATCTCCTTGGGAATATTCCCCCTCCTCTAGCTGTGGGGGGGACGAAGCAATTTCCCAGCCCCAAACGTCCAATATCCTTAATTTTGCAAATTCTGCGGCGGAGAATATTTTTGGGACTCCCTTTGGTCATGGCGACGTTCCTCTCCCCGGAACAAATATCCATCAGTCTTTTTTGGAGACGGAGGAGTTAATTCGGTCCTCCAGTTTTGGGAAGGCCACTGTCCCATCCTCCATCCGTCCCACTGCCATCCCCGGTCCCTCAATTCAGGAGACCGGGTCTTCCTCTTCTTCTCAGGTCCGCCACAAGAGGGGCCGGAACTCCACCCCTCTCCCCGGTTCTCTGGTGTCCGCCGGTCCTCCCATGGGGACCGCCGATGATGNGAAGAAGATGGGTCCCTCAAAACTGCTCCCAAAGGCTGGTCCGTCATGATTCTCACTGGGTGAGCTTGGAAATAGGGAGTTAACCTCTTGACAGTTACCACCACCGCCAAAACACATTTTTCCAAGGGAGTGTACCTTGTTTCCGGTCCTCTTAAGGCCCTGCTTGTGTAATAAACTGGCTTTTGGACTCCTTCTTCTTCCCTCAAGAGGACCGAACTCACTGCCAGGTGGGCCACCCCCAAGTATAAGAAAAGGACATCCCCTGCTAATGGCTTGGAGAGGACCGGTGGAGAGCTCAAATATGCCTTCAAGTGTTCAAAGGCCTCTTGGCATTCTGCGGTCCACTGGAAGTTTCCCCCTCCCTTTAAAATTGTGAAAAAGTGCAGGGACCGCTCTGCGGACCGCGCCAAAAACCTTCCTAGGGCCGCTATCCTCCCTGCTAATCTCTGGACTTCCCTCAAATTTGTTGGTGGTTCCATGTCTTGGAGGGCCTTCAACTTGTCCGGATTGACCTCAATCCCTTTCTTGCTCACCATGTAACCAAGGAATTTTCCTCCCTGGACCCCAAAGGCACATTTTTTGGGGTTCAATCTCAAATTATGCTTCCTCATGATGCCAAAGCATTTCTCCAAGTGCTGAGGATGGTCCGCGGCTTGCTTACTTTTGATCAGTAGGTCATCCACATAAGCCTCCATGATATGTCCCATGACCTCCTTGAATATCAAAGAGATCATTCTCGTAAATGTGGCCCCCGCATTACGCAGCCCAAAAGGCATGACCACGTAACAATATACTCCTTCAGGGGTGATAAAGGCTGTGGATTCCGCATCATCTTTGTGCATGAAAATTTGATGGTATCCTCGGAAGGCGTCCATAAAACTCAATAGTTCATGGCCCGCCGTTTCATCTACCAGTTGATCTACTCTGGGTAGGGGAAAGGGGTCCATAGGACATGCCTTATTGAGGTCAGTGAAGTCCACACACATGCGAAAGGTGTACCCTTTTGGTGCCAGCACCACATTGACGAGCCATTTGGGATATTGGACCTCCCTAATGTGGCCGGCCTCCAAAAGGGTTTTCACCTCCTTCCTCACAAATTCTTTTCTGTCCGTGGACAGATATTTTTTTTTCTGCTTGACCGGGAAGGAGTCCATCTTGATGTTCAACTTATGGCAAATGACTGAGGGATCGACTCCGTGCATATCCTTGGATTCCCATGCAAAGAGAACCGAGTTTTCTCTTAATACTCGGATTATCTCTTCACGGGTATCCTCCTCTAGTCTTAAACCGATCCTTACAACCTTTTCTTGATCCCCTTCCGGGAATAGCACCACTTCCTCCATTTCCACAGCTGGCTTGGGCCTCTCCCGGTCTTCCTCCTTCCTTTCTTTATCTTCCAAAACATGCCCGATGGTTTGGATGTTGAGGTTCTCCTTGTCTATCTTCTTACAGGCGCTTAGATAGGCCTTCTTGGCCGCGGGCTGATCACCAAGGACCCTCCCAACACCTTCGGGAGTCCTAAACTTGAGGCACAGGTGTTCAAGGGATAGTGCACCTCCCAAGTCCTCTAGCCCAGGCCTCCCTAAGATGGCATTGTGAGCGCATTTGATGTCGACCACTACAAAATCCATCCTCATATGCCTCACCTTAGGATGCTCGCCTATGATGATGTCCAATTTAATGGACCCTTCCGGTTCAATTATATCTCTAGTGAAACCGGACAAAGGCATGTTAAGCTTTGTGAGATCTTCCTTCCTGATTCCCAATTGCTGGGCGGCTTCCCAATACAGCACATTGACACTGCTTCCAGTGTCCACCAATATTCTTTTGACAAAAAATTTGTGAATAGCCATAGAAATTACCAGGGGGGTCCGATGAGGACTAAAAATGAGTGGTAAATCTTCGTCCGAGAAGACAATGGGCTCCCTCCTTCCTTTCTTGGCCGCTTGGCCTATGTCAATGGACCCCACATACAGCTTGCGAGCCCATTCCTTCCTCTCCTTGCTTGTGACTCCTGTTTCTGGACCGCCAAAGATGACTCCTACTTGGGGAAATTCTTCCGGGTTCTCCTGGACTTGTTGTTGAGGTTGGGCGTCCCTACGCCAAACATTACCTCCTTGGTTCGGCTCCTGATTGGCATTCGGTTCCTTGTCCTTCATCTCTCCTTCCATCTTTTTGAGGAAATG